AGCTGTCCCTTTACTCTGATTTAAACTGTCCCTCCCTGATTTTAGCTGTCCCTCCCTGATTTTAGCTGTCCCTTTACTCTGATTTAAACTGTCCCTCCCTGATTTTAGCTGTCCCTCCTGAGCAGGGCCACCCCTAACTCCGCTCTCCTTCCACCCCTAGGTTGAGGAAGAAGAGCTAAGCTTGTGTGGAGCTTAGTTCATCAGCATTTTATTCTGGGTAATAAAAAAAATAAAATAAAATGGATACCTGTTTTCCACTGCTAAAACTGAAGCACCACTGTGTGAGAGCAACAGGAGAAAGAAACCAACCAACGGAGAGAGGAGAGAGAGAGAGGAGCGCGCGAGAGAGCCACTGCTGGAGCTCACTGAGACAAGGAGACTGACAAGGAGAGGAGACAGAGCCCTGGAGGACTGGCTGGCGCCTCGTGGGGAGGAACTCACCCAGCAGGAGAGCTCAGCTGAGTCCCTGCTCCCCCGTCAGCCCAGCTCCGGAGAAGGGCCTTAACAAAGCAGGTTTCACTTCATTCCATACTTCTCTTGGCGGGCAGGGCATTACCTTTCAGAGCAGATGGGGAGAGGAAAACCCTCATCTCAGAGTTGGGCTCCTTTTGCCAGGGGTACTACAAACATTTTAGCAGGAACTGTTTACATTTTAGAAGCAGAGTATCTGAGAGAGGAGGGGGGGAAACAAAAAAGAGAGGAAGTCCCTGCCTGGGTGACAGCCAGCCAAGCAGAAATCCAGCTGCTGCTCAACTCTGAGGTGCAGGTTTTGTTGTCCAACACTGGCTCTGAAATTTGTTGTCATCGTGTCGCCCACATTCTGAACGAGGTGGTTTTAAAGAGATTCTTTCAAAAAGAGCACTGAATTTTTAAAGAAGTTTTGTCTCTGAATTCTTAGTGGTGGACCTGGGAGATTTAGATCCTTGTTCTGAGAAGCTTATATTACAAAAAAAACTTTAAAAAAACCAAAAAAAAAACCCCAAAAAAATATGTTTCAAAGAAAAATTAGAGCAACATCCTTGAGAACTTTCAGTGTGATTTCAAGTTGCAGCAATCAGCCTCTTCTTCCTACATGGGATAGGTTTAGAGTGAGAGGAGCCTGCGTGCTCGAGCAGGAGGGTTTCAAAGTGTTTTCTGTATGCTTTAATTGGCAACTGTCTGGACTCTACTCTGTGAAAAACAGCCTTTCTGTACGATGAACTTTATGCTTGAAAGGGGACGGGTTCCTGTGCCCTTCGGCCCTGGAGGGAAGGTGCAGCCAGGCCTGCTTTGGTCCCCACGGGTGTGGGGCAGGAGTAGTGGAAATTGGGGATTATTTTGGATGGAAAGTAAAGACTCCACGCCGCTGCAGGAGCAGGAGGGACAAACGGACAAAGCAGGCAGGTGGTGGAAGGTGGTGGCCTCTGAGAGACAGAGCTGGGTTTAATTTGGGACAACGGGTCAGGCTTTGGGGTGGCTTCCTGGGTGGTGAAGGCAGGAGAGGGACAGAGTGAGGTGTCGAAGCCAAGTTTGCAGGGGGAAGAAGTCGGAACGAGCTTTGCTTTGCTGAAGCAGAGTTTCCAGCCCAGCTGGGGATCAGGGCTGGGAAGAGCCCACGAGGAGAAGCCATCCACGCTCTGAGTTGTGGCCATGTCTGAAATACTCACAGGGGACATTTGGGAGCTTTTCATTTCTGTCAAAACCTTTTTTTAGGGACAGCGCAGAGAGAGAATTGATTCCTCCAGCCCCGTTCTTAGCAGATCCTGAATTAGAATAACCTCTACCTCCCAATTGGCCAGCAGCAGCAGAGATGGAGCCAGGCCTGGGTGTTCCTCAGGCTGGAGTTAAGCTTTACACTCAAAGGGCTCTGAGTGTTTGTAGTCCTTTTCTTTTTGGGGGGAAAACTCAAAATACCTCTCATCTGAATGTACTCAAACAGCTCCAACCCCGTTTTGTAGCCGGGGAGGGGGAACCTTTCATTCCTGTCCTTCCTGGAGATCCCTGCCTGGAGTTGCTGGATTTGCCCCCAGAGCAGCCCTGGTGTGGAACAGCCCCAGCCCCGGGGGGGAGCTGCAGAAACTGCAAAAACCACAAAAAACTCAACTCACAAAACCCATTCTTTTCTCATCCAAAGCCTCCAGAGTTTAGACTTCAAAACAGTGAAAGAATGGAGACACAGGCCACCTTCCTTCCTCGTGAGATGGACTTGTTTTATTTATTAACATTGCCGAAGGGCTTTTTAATTTTTTTCCTTGGTAGGCTGCGTAGTGGCGTAGACTTTTCGGGTAGGTTTAAGCTGAACCCCTCTGTGCAAAGCTATCCATGAGTAATGTACCCCCTCCTCTCCCCTCACCCTTTATTTCACTGCTGGGAATGCTTGCCTCTGCTTCGTGCTGGTTTTTTCCTTTGTAGCAGTTCAAACTCTTTTGAGTTTTACAAATCCAGACATCAGTGCTAGCACGGTGTTAAACTTTTTTTTTTAATTAATTACTTTTTTTTTGTCTCAGTTTTGTTTTAAAACCTGTTTGTCATCGAATTAAAAAAAAAAAAAAAAAAGAATAAACAGCTCTTGCATTCAAGGTGGCCCCTAAGTTTCAATGAGGAAACCATGCAACGTTCATTAAAGCTTTAGTCTGATTGTATAAACTTCAAGTTTATTACTTTTTTTAAACACAAGACTAGTACAAAAGTGGGGGTGTGCATAGCAGAGGGGGTGAGCGACTCAACTGGGAGGACTGGGAGGACTGGGAAGGGCTCCTGGGCTGGGAGCAAACACCAACACGGCTTTGCCTGCCAGGCTCAGGCTGGGGCTGTGGGCTGGCCTTGGCACCACCCTGGGCACAAACTCACCCGGGGTCCCAGTGAGAGCCCTGTCCTGCCTCTCACCCCCCTGCGTGGCCACAAACCCAGGAATCCTCGAAGCTTTTCCTCCTGTGCCCATCTAAAATCAGAATCCAGTGGCTCCTGCTGGCTGGAGTTGAGCCCTTTAAACACTGAAAGGGAGCAGGGCTGGGTGGGAAACACCTGGATTTGGGAATGGGAATCCAGCTAAAGCTGCTCCAGGCTGGCTCTTCAGCTCCACATTTTGGGTATTAAAACAAAACAAAACAAAACAAAAAATACACTATTCCAAGGTGGTTAAACTCTCAGTGCTTCTCCTGGGGGGAGGAGGTGGGAAAACCATCAGAGCTCAAAGAGAAAACAGCAAAAAAAACCCCCAAAGCTGCACTACGGCTTCACAGTTCAAAAATAAAGAGAAAAAATTCAAGTCTAACTCGGGTTCCTTCTCAGTTGTCCCAAAATCCCCAAAGGGGCAGGGAATTGTCGCTCTGGTGGTTTTCACACTCGGTTTTACACGCTCGGGGACAGCTCAGCAGCTGGAAGAGGCAGAGGAGAGGGAAATGCCCCAAATTTGGGTCCCTGCTGCCCCTCAGTGACAGCACGGAGAGCCTGGGGCTGCCAGCCGGCACAAAACCCAACAAATCAACCCAAAACAACCCGAAAAAGTCAAAAGTGTGCGGAGCTCTGCCCCTGCCTGAGGCTCGGCTGCCACCCGGCACTCGGGGACAGCCTGGGCTCATCGATTTGCAAATGAGGTAAATTAATTAATTATTAATTAATTAATACTGACTCACAGCCACTGACCCCAGCAACCCCCCCGAATTTCCTCAGCCACATTCCCTGCAGGATCCTGCCTTGGCACAAGGCTCCCTGTGGGTTTCTTAGGTGAAATTTCCAATTTTTTAGGCAAAATCTCCAGTTTTTAAGGCAAAACCTCCATTTTTTTTGGGAAAACCTCCAAATTTTTAGGGAAAACCTTCATTTTCTTAGGGAAAACCCCCACTGCATTTGGCCACCCAACACAAGCCCCGTCCCCAAACCACCCCATCACCCCGAAAGCAGCACAAAGCACAAAGCTCCCGCCCGGCTCTGATGGGGTTTGGTCACCCTGGATCACACCCCAAGGAACCCCCGGCCCCGATTCACCCAGAAAACTCATTTACACCCTGAGAAATCCCCAGAATTCAGCCCAAACCCCCCAAAAGCCGCGAGCAAGGGGGGAAATGCGGGATTCGGAGCCCGGCGCCAGCATCCCCCGCGCAGAGGGGACCCAGCGCCGGGCTCGGTCACAACCCCGCAGCCCCGTCCCGGCTCATCCTACACCGGCCCCGCCAGTACCGCCGGCACGGAGGGGAGCCCCGGAACGCCCCGGAACGCCCCGAAACACAGCGGGGATTCCGCAGCGCGGGGTCTGCCCGCACCATCCCCGCTACCTGCAGCCGCACTCGTCCACCACCATGTCCTCGTAGTGGCGCAGCACCACGTTGTCGCTGTTGTCGTAGTAGAGGATGGAGATGGGGGAGAGGCGGACGGGCACGCAGCAGGGCTGGGGGGTGCCCTGCGGGTCCAGCGAGTGCACCATGGTCTGCAGCACGGCGTGGTTGGTGCTGTTGAGCTCGGCCGCCAGCGGGAAGGGACAGTCCCCGCCGCAGTAGTTGGCCAGGTAGCCCTGGGGGGCGATGATCCAGTTCTCCCAGCCCACGTCGCTGAAGCTGATGTAGAGCCGGCGGGGCTTGCACAGGGGGCTGGGGGTCAGCGGGGGGCTCGGGGGGCTCCTCCTGCCGCGGGCAGCCCGGCACCGCGGGCCCAGCGTCACCAGCAGCAGCGAGGTGGCCGCGAAGGCGTCGCTGCTGCCGCAGGGGCTCCGCGGGGTCCCGCCGTCCCCTCCGGCCGAGATCTCCAGCACCAGAGCCAAATTGCTGCCCGGCGCCGCGCCGTCCTTCAGCGCCGCGCTCAGGTCCAGCGGCAGGGATTTGCGCAGCTGGACGAAGGAGCGCTCCACCAGCGGGCTCCGGCCGGGCCGGGGCAGCCCCCCGGGGGACGCCCGGTACAGCCGGAGCTCCAAAACCTGCCCCGGGCTGGCCGGCTGGTAGGAGTTGTGGTGGAACCGGAGCTCCAGCTGCGCCATGGTCAGGCGCTCGCCCTCCTCGAGCGCGGAGAGGTTGAAGAACAGGAGCTTCCGCAGACACAGCCGCCCCGGGGGCTGCCCCTCGGGGAGGAAGCGGCCTGGCAAAGAAGGAGAAACAGGGGTGGGGGCGGCTGAACGCTCGGGATGGGCAG